CCAAAAGAAAAATGTAAATCATGAACCTGAAATTAACAAACTTGACTTAACAGAGTCAAAAATATGTATGTCCGATTCAGATGACCAAAGTAGCTCTAACGATACTATCTATACTAAACTTAAATATAATATATCAAAACCATATGATGAAAATTGTGATTTAGATAGTGAAAAACTGAAACATGATAACTCAGTTAATGTTCATTCTTCTTCTTTAAGTTCTAAAAAGAGGAAAACCTTTCAATCAAAGGATAAGAAAGCATGCAATAATCAAATTATAAATAAATTTGTTCAAAGAAAGTCATCATCAACATCTGACTCAGAGAGTAGTAGTAATGAAAATATAATACTACCAGTAAAAGACTTAGACCAAAAGAAAAATGTAAATCGTGAACCTGATAGTGACAAACTTGGCTTGACAGAGTCAAGAAGAAGTATAAATGATTCAAATGACCAAAGTAGCTCTGATGATGTCATCTATACTAAACTCAAACATAGTATATCAAAACCAGATGATAAAAAACTTAAACTAGATAACTCTGTCGATATTCAATATTCTAATTTAACTACTAAAAAGAAGAAAACTTTTAAATCAAATGATAAGAAAGATTTCAAAAATCAAATTATAAATAAAGTTATTCAAAGGCAGTCAACATCAACATCTGATTCAGAGAGTAGTAGTAATGAAAATATTATACAACCAGTAAAAAACTTAGACCAAAAGAAAAATTTAAATTATGCACTTAAAATTAACGAAGTTGACTTAACTGAGTCAAAAATAAGTATAATAACAGATGCCGATGACCAGAGTAGCTCTGATGATGACATGTATATAAAACATAAACATGATGTATTAAAACAAGTAAATAGAAAACCTTATATTACAAATCAAAGTTATAATAAAGTTAACTATTTAAATGGTGTAAATGATTCATTATCATACTTTGTTCATGATGAATACACACCATCCTCAAAATTAATTAATTCAAATATAAAAGAAAGTTTTATTAAAATAGCTGAAATTGACACAGTTAAGATTGATAAATTACCAATCGAAAAAACATCAAAAAAGAATAAAAAACAAAAAAGTAGCAAGTGTACACTTTTGAAATCACCAAAGGATAATAAATCTTTAATAGATTTAATGAAAATAACAAATAATAAAGATATACTAATTAAGAAAATTTTGGAAGAAGATTATAATAGTAGTAATAGTAGTGTTGGTACAGACAATGAGTTAGAATTTTTAAAAAAAAACGTGGAAAAACAAAGATTAAATAAAATTAAGAATGCCAAATTACAAGAGATATCTATTGAGAATACCTCCAACAAACAAAGTAAAACTGTACAAAAATTGGATAGTAAAATAACAAAACATCAGATCGCAACCTTGGGTATAACAGATGATTTATCAAGTAGAAAAAGGAAAAGATCCGGGGAACTTACCAAAGATTTACTTTTGGACAGTGTATTAAATTCCTTACAAGATTCTTCAAGTTGTCATTCTCCTACAGAAAAGAAAAGTAATGTTCATAATTCAATAATGAAAACAAATAATTTAACTGAATACATAAATTATAATAAAAGTTCATCCGAGGTTAAGAAGAAGAAAAAATCTAAACACTGTGAGGATATTATTAATGTAAATGATTTAATTGTGAAGAACAATATAAATCAAATAAATGATTCACTTGATAAATTAAAATACCAAAATCTGTTAGTACAAGAAAAAGATTCATCCGAAGGATTGGAAAAAAATAAACACTTAAAAAGTGATTCAATTCAATGTGATACTGATATTACAATTAATGATAAATTAGGTAGAATAAACAACAAACCGGTAAATATAAATCTACAATATACAAATATTAAATCCAGTAAAAAACAAAGTAAGATATTTAGCGCAGATCAAATTAAAAATATTATATCAATTCAAGATACAAATATGATTAATAATTTAGATAATTTGTACCGTTCATTAAATAATTAATTTATTATAATAAAATGTATATTAATTATTTTTAACTTATTAACTTGTATTTTTTTTATGTAGGCATTTAAATATACCTATTTAAAATTATATTTACATTTAGAAACAAAAATTTTGTTCAAATGGTTTCACATTTTCTATTTTTTAATGAAAGTGTAAAAAAATAGTGTATATTTAATTTAATTTGACAAATTGATATTTTATTTCTTTTATTTGTAATATACTGTATATATACGTATTATATAATTTGAAATTGAAATAAGTAACTTATCATGAAATATACATTATATATAATATATTTATTATTAATATTGATAATTGATGGATTTTATTGGTCGCTCAACATATCTATAGAATTTATGTTAAATATTTTATTGTAAAGAACTACTTTTCTAAAATTAAATAGACTAACTGTGGTTTAAGTCTAAACTAATTGCATTTTTAATATAGTTAATAAGTATTTTGTTTTTGATTCTAATCAAAATAGATATATGTCTTCATAATTCTTTAAATTCACCTATTGAATTTTTAGTAAATTAATTACACAGGTTTCAATAGGGGAAATGCGTATTAAGATGGCTTCCCCCATAAATAATTATTTTGATATAATAGTTTAAGAAAATGATATCAATAATTATATTAAGAGGACATTGTACCCAATTGTGCTGTCGCCATCATACAACTGAGCGACAGCAAACTTTTGTTAAGCAGGGACAATTTTGTGCTGTTATACTTATGATATTAGGGTGAATTGACCAATTATTAAGGATTATTAACTCAAGGATATGAACATATTTGTGTTGTATCGTCTTTTTTAGTATTTTATTTTTTTTCATTCAAATTTTTAAGTGGGATCTGATCGTATGAAATATCACAATCAAAAAATGCTTATAACTCGCTTAAAAACTCAAATGATGGGACAATAGATAATGTTCATATCTTGAAATTAAATAATAGGTAAATTTACTCTTATATCAAACTTAACAGCACAAAGTTGTCCCTGCTAAACAAAAATTTGCTATTTTGCGCTATGTTGTATGATGGACAAAGCGCGTGCGGGTACAACATCCTCTTAAAGTCAGCTATTGCATTTGTTTTGTAACTAATTTACCTATACGGATATAAACGACTGAAAATATTAATTATGTCACTTTCCGACAAGATTGAGTATGTTAACGATTTTTTTCAACTAAGTTAGAAACTAACCAAAAGTAATAATTAACTTTTTAACTCAAGTTAAGTTAATTAAAATAAAACCCAACATTTTTCAAGTAATTTTCTCCGCATTAAAGCCGGAATAAATTTAATAATTATTTTCCTTTTTGACAGATGGTCAAGGTCTAGTTTTTTTCATCCAAAACTTGAAAGTAAATGTTAAGACTTGATAATTTTTAGAATTTTGTTGTCTATTTTTTTTCTGTATATGTGAACCATTTTATAATACCAACTAATAAATATTGAATTATAATTTATTAAAAACCAGAATATTTTTAGACTTGAGTGTGGTTGAGATTTTAACAATCAGAATTCAGTTTATTCGACACCAGTGAATGAACATTTAAGATTGTACAATTTTCAAAACCCCTCTAGAATTACTTGTTTTAACATAATAACTTTCCTTCTTTGTTTTTTTTTTCTAAATTGTTTATTTATTTACATTGAATTATATGTACACAGTTATAACACTAATTGAGCACAATCAATATATGTACACAGAGCCTTGCAATTTATATTTTGTTTTTTAGTTGATTTTTAGTAATACTTATTTATATGGATTCTAAAATTGTTACACTTAATTATAAATATATATATACAGTAAAATAAAATTTTCTCATGTAAGAACGACCTTTTTGGGACTGAATTTTGATTAAATTATTTTTTAAGTTTTAAATTTACTGTATCTGTATAATATTAATATCGTGTTATAAGATTGGATATTTTTGATATCTTCGATATTTGTAAAACAGTTAACCGTCGTAGATGTTATCCATAGAGCAGGCTCTGTTTTACATAAAGACCGTGCCATAGAGTATCTATAACCGTGGTTAACTCCAAGTTTTATAGATAGTATATAATCAATACTATTATCTATAATTCCATGGTAGTTAACTCGACCAACTAGTTGTTGTTATCTATCTCAGTGATTATTATCTACAATTTTTAGTAATTATCAAGGTTATCTATAGATATCCGTGGTAATTATTAACAATATCTTCGTTAAAATTCGTGTTCTGTAGATAATCATTTCTAGTTATCGTTATCTCCAAATCTATCGTTTCTCATGTAGCACGTTATTTTTAAAAAGTCATTTTTATTATTGTTAGTTCAAATTTGACTCTGGGGTCTAAAAAAATGGTCGAAGTACTCCGCGACAAAGAATATTTAGTCAAAGAATATCTGGAAACCCGTGGACTTTATAGTCATCATATCAATTCTTTCAACAAATTTATTGACAGTGACTTGAAGAAAATCGTACAGCAAAATCATGCCGTCCGAAGTGATGCAGATCCAAACTTCTATTTACATTTTAAAAACGTTACAATTGGTCATCCGCAGGTATAATCAATTTCAAATTGATTATAATATTATTTAACATAATATATATCTATTCCAGTTACAATACACAATAGTATGTGTTACGGTTACCTATTTTATTAACAGGACACTACAAATGCATTTATTGTCTCTACTTTTCTATAACATGATAAAACAAATTTGCATTCAGCAGCACCAATTTTGTGTTTTAGTTACAATATTAAAGTAATTTGACTCTGAAATTTATCTTAGTTTTATTGTTTTTTCCACTATTTTAATTTTCAAACGAGATTACAATTTAAAAATACTTATATTGCACCTTTGAAAGAATAGTGACACAACTGCAAAATTACGACTTTCGAATTATTACAACCAAAATATGCAAAATTTTGTCCTGTATAATTTATTATCTCACTTAAAACTATTAAAACTAAAAGTAAAAAATTGATTATACTGAATTCAAATTTGCTTTGCCATACATTTTTAGACAGACAAAAAATGCATGCCATTTGGTATCCTCTTATTGGTACTTACCTGTAAACAATCTGTCCATTTCCTAAATAATCTGATAATTATTCTGCCATCTTTGAATATCCTGTTGAAAATAAATCTCAGAGGAGAGGGGCATATGGTACTACAGGTTTATTGAACACTGTGGCCCTGAGGAAAAACAGACAAATTTCTGAAAATAAATGTTTCATTATTTTCCGTTTTTATTTTTTCTACCATAAATTTTGTTACGATATTCAAGAGTAGCATTTCTGAAAGAAAATTTGGTCTAGTTAGTTGATTTTTTTTGCTTAGTGCAACGTCAAGAAGAGTTTAAAATGACTTTGATAGTTTTGAGTAAAGCATTAATTTGGTACTTGTGAATTACCTCGATTACCAAAATATTTCTAAGACTACCTTGTATAACTTGAAAACTTGATAATATATTGTTGATAACCATCATTCTATACTGGATGGTCCATGTTGATATACCCATTGTAATATCTCCTGAGATAATAAAGATAATCAAATTCTAATTTGTTTATATTACTTGCAGGGATAAAGACTTCAAATATTTATATTTGAATTAAATTTGTATGTTTGAATAAAAGAATAAAAAAAATAACTTTTATTATATTATTTTAGAAATAATAAAAATGAGCCAAAAAATGGCTAATTTGAAGATAACCATTTTATAGTTTATACTTCTAAAAATTTGTATGTTTCAACTTTTTTATTTTGATTGAATTTGCGATTTTAAATAATTGTTTAAATTTCAGATAAGACTATCTTTAATGATGCAGTAGGCTGTAATCACATTTTTTATTTGACTATTGTTATTATGGCCAATTTATTAAAAAAAATTTCTTTGAACTTTAAAAAAATATGAAAAATCACAAGTTTAATAATAATACAAATTTGAAATCTCCAGTATACACATCATTGATACTTACACTATGCGTTTACAAAATTTCATCTCCCCAACTTTATTTAGAGGTTTTATAGGTTTTTACAAAGCTAAAAAAAAAAACATCCTTCCGCAACAATATGATGAAATAAATCAATATTTATCATTTCAATCCACTAATAAAAAATCTCTAATTTCCTTGTTTAACCTCATTTGGTCTAAAAAGAGCCACTAAAAGTGTCCATAAGATTTTTATATATGTATATATATATATATATGATTTTCTAAATTTCATATTATTGTCAAAATTTCCATAAAATACTTATTTTACAAAAATGGCTTATGTAAAAAGATGTTGAAATCAAATTTTCTAAAATATTATATTATAATTATTTTTGTTATTGAAATCATTACTCACTTACTTTTGATTTTCAAATAAAAACCTTAAAATTTCCATAAATAGATGAAGTTTTAGTTTAAATACATTTACATATTAAAATTAAGTGATTTTTTTAAAAAATAAGTATTTTGTGAAAAATTTGACTGTTAAGTATAACATGAAATAAGGAAGACCCTTCATATAACAGATACTATACAGTGTAATGATCTCTATTTTCAGAGAAAATTTGACAATAATTAAAAAATTGTCACTAAGTTAGATAATTCAATTAAAATCTATTATAATTTTCAGGTGGATGATGGATTTAATGTTACGCGAAATGTTACACCACAGGAATGTCGTCTGCGAGATCTCACATATTGTGCTCCAATATATGTTGATATTGAATATGTTAAAAGTGGCATGAAATATCTCCGAAAGGGATTTATTATTGGCCGTTTGCCAATAATGTTGAGAAGTAATCGTTGTTGTCTTTATAAAAAGTCTGATGCTGAGCTGGCAAGAATGAAAGAATGCATTTATGATTCTGGTGGTTATTTTATTGTAAAAGGAACTGAGAAGGTAATATTAATGCAGGAGCAGCCAGCAAAAAACAAAATATTGGTGGAAAAAGATTCTAATGGAGTGCCTACAGTTCAAGTAATGAGTAGCACTGTTGATAAAAAATCCAAAACTAATATTATTTTTAAGAAAAATTTAATGTACGTTTGTCATAATGCCCTTGAAGAAAATATACCATTCGTTGTTTTTATGAAAGCTCTTGGTGTCTGTTCAGATCAATTAATATTACAAATGGTTGGCACAGAATTTGCTATTATGAATCAAATGTACCCTTGTTTTTTAGAATGTAGTAAATTAAAAATTTTTTCACAAAATCAAGCTCTTAGGTATATTGGTGATCGTATTAAAAAAATGGGACTGTCCTCTGAAGACTATGAAAACAGGGTTATTACTGAAGTGCATGATTTTTTATCTACTATATTTTTAGCTCATATCCCAGTTACCAACACAAATTATCATATAAAAGCAATATACATTTCAATAATGGTCAGAAGATTAATTTTTGCATTATCCAATCCAGAATTATTTGATAGTAAAGATTATTATGGTAATAAATGTTTAGATTTACCAGGGGCGTTTTTATCATTACTTTTTGATGATACCTTCAAACGTTTCATCTTTGAACTTAAATCTGTTGCTGATAAGAATATACCAAAAGTGAAGGCTACGCCGTTTGATATAATCAAGTATATCAGATCTGATACAATTACAAACTCTTTAGTATTTGCTATACAAACTGGTAATTGGTCTATTAAACGTTTTCGTATGGAAAGACACGGTGTCACACAGGTCTTGACCAGATTATCATTCCTATCAGCTATTGGTATGATGACTAGAGTTAATTCTCAGTTTGAAAAAAGTAGAAAAGTATCTGGACCGCGTTCATTGCAACCGTCACAATTTGGAATGTTGTGCCCTTCAGATACTCCTGAAGGAGAAGCTTGTGGACTCATAAAAAACATTTCACTTCTGGCTCATGTTACTACTGAATCCGAAGATGATGATGCCATAATACGGCTAGCTCTCAATCTGGGAGTGGAACCAGTGGGTTTACATTCAATAGAAGAACTTCATGAACATTATATGTATTTGATAATATTTAATGGTAATATTATTGGTTCCACTAGAAAATGTATTGATTTTGTTGAAAAATTTAGATTGTGTAGACGTAAAGGTATGTTTAGTAAATTTATTTCCATTTATATATCAGAAAGACACAAATGTATTTATATTAACTCTGGTGATGGTAGATTGTGTAGACCATATATAGTTGTAGAAAACGGTCAACCATTACTCACTAATGTCCATATTGACAAATTAAAAAAAGGTTATTGTACATTCCAAGATTTTATTGACAAATCTATTATTGAATTTATCGATGTTGATGAAGAAAATAATAGCTTAATTGCGTATTGTGAAGAAAAGATAGTGCCTGAAACGACTCACCTAGAGATAGCACCTTTCAGCATATTAGGTATATGTGCCAGTGTTATACCTTTCCCTCATCATAACCAATCACCTCGTAACACATACCAATGTGCTATGGGTAAACAAGCCATTGGTACTATAGCCTTAAATTATTTACACAGAATGGATACGCTTCAATACAATTTGTGGTATACACACATACCAATGGTTCATTCAAAAGCAGTGCCAATGATCAATTTTGATAAATTACCTGCTGGTCAAAATGCCACTATTGCTGTTATGAGTTATTCGGGTTACGATATAGAGGACGCTATTATCTTGAATAAAGCTAGCGTTGATAGAGGTTTTGGCAGAGGTGGAACGTTCAAAAATTCAAAATGTTTCTTGAGACATTATCCAAATCAAACAATGGACTCAATACAAGGTCCTATTATAGATAATGCAACAAAAAAACCAATTTACAAACACAGGGCACTAGACAATGATGGTATAGCAGCCATTGGCCAGCCAATCTTTGATAAACAAGTTACGATTAATAAAGCGACACCAAAAACAATAACTGTGGAAGATGCAAGTGGTGATAGAGGCTTCAAAGAGACACCAATGTATTATAAAGGATATGATCCATCATATATTGACAAAGTAATGATAACATCAAACAGTGATAATTTTTTAATTAAGGAAAACTTTAGACAACCGAGACGACCAGAAATCGGTGATAAGTTTAGTAGTAGACACGGTCAAAAAGGAGTTGTTGGGTTGATTGTAAACCAAGAGGATATGCCTTTCAATGAAGTAGGAATATGTCCTGATTTAATTATGAACCCTCATGGTTTTCCGTCGCGTATGACAGTGGGTAAACTCATTGAACTTTTGGCTGGAAAAGCTGGATTATTAGAAGGCAAGTTCCAGGACGGCAGTGCTTTTGGTGGAGCAACAGTTACTGATATTAGCAACGAATTACAAAAACACAATTATAATTATTTGGGGAAAGATGTATTGTACTGTGGCATTGATGGTAGGCCAATGGAAGCGTACATTTACTCTGGTCCAGTTTTCTATCAACGTCTAAAACATATGGTTGCTGACAAAATACACGCCCGATCAAGAGGACCAAGAGTACTTTTGACTAGGCAACCAACAGAAGGTAGGGCTAAAGATGGTGGACTTCGTATGGGAGAAATGGAAAGAGATTGTTTAATCGCATATGGTGCTAGTATGTTGATTATTGAAAGATTGATGTTGAGCAGTGATGTAGTAGAAATGGATGTATGTAAATTATGTGGTTTATTTTCATATTCTGGTTGGTGCCACATGTGTCAAAAAAGTAATTCGGTGTGTCGTATAAAAATGCCTTATGCATGTAAATTGCTATTTCAAGAACTACAGGCAATGAGTATAGTACCTAAGATAGCATTAAAGAAATATTGTGACTGAATTATATATAAATGAAATTGTTAAGTTTATATTATATATGTTAACTGTTTTAAACAATTATTAAATTATTATCAAGTGTTTGTGTTTCAAAATTAAGACCATTAATTGATAAAGGTATTTGTAATATGTACCTAATAATTTTTATTTTAACTATATTACGCTTTTCATCAAAGAAATACTACAACTGAAAATACATTTAACAAAAATAAAATTTATTTTTATACTTATTTTTATTATTTAATCATTGAGGGTAATATAAAGCTATTATTTTCAATTTTAGGTATTTTTTAGAGTCTTTATTGAATATTAAAATGTAGTATACAAATTTAACTATACGCATGAACAATAATTAATAACTAATGAGTAATGACAGCTTAAAGATGGATGCAGAAATAGTTTTACGAAAATGGTATTATTTTTATAGGTACTTTTATAGGAAGTTTTCTTCTCACAGCCACTTATGTATTCCAAGTACATATTAACAAAAATAGTTTGTAAACATAATTTCCTGTTGTACAATGCATATTGTGAATGGTTTGCTTTAGGTATGTAGCGATAAAACAGGGTTTTAGAGGCAACGTGTTTACCATGTATGTTACGATAGAAACGGTGATGCAGCAAACCTTTAGATTAAGAGGCTTTTTCTTCATAATAATATATATGTAATACAATAATAAAAAGTAATATTTCAACTTTTCATATACCTACAAATGTTATTATATTATAAATCACATAAACTATTCTCTGATTTTGTCATATAAATTGTATGTTATTTTAAATACTATGTACTCAGGCCACACATTTTTAAATATAACTACACAACAACATGACTTAAATTAGATTACAAATATAAGTAGGTGGGTAGTTAAAATATTATTTTATTTGTTTATTTTTTTTTAATTTTATTAAGATTACAAAAATAGTTGGTTGCAAATTTAAAACGTAATCTACTGAATATTTTTGTCGAATACAATTAAAATAAAAATAAATTAAATTGGAGAATGTAACGAAACCCCATGCAAGTATCAAACTCTAGCTTTTTGTTCAACGTAAATATTACTTTTTTCATGTAAAATAAAAATCTTGTGAGTCAGTTGAAAATGATAAATCATAATTACCTTATTTACCTACATTTAATTTCTTTTTATATAGAATCTACATATTTATTAATTATTCATATTTTGGTGAATTTTGTAACTACTATAAAACATATTTAAATAATTATAATTTATCTATCATAGCAAATTGAAAGTCTTTATAATATTTTCAAAATTGTTATCAAACATTATAAGTTAATTTTTGACAATTTTGTTAAAATATATAAATAAGTTCAACTAGATTTTCTGGCGTTAACTAGACAGCGTAAAATTAGAAATTTTTTAGCCTCTTAGTGAAAATAATTACCAACAAATATGAAAGTTATCCAACAATGTCCAAAACAGAAGCAACACATTAGTTTTATGTGTAGGATTGATATCTACGAATTGTGTGCTATAAAGTTCACAACTTGTGAATTACAGGCTGTACATTCTCACCGACTATTTTTTTAAAACGTCATTTTTAGCCTGCCAAAAATAAAATATAAACGCCGAAATACCTAAGTGTTTTATAATATCATATATTGTGTTAGTATTTAAAATCACTATAGAAAATGGTCCAATATCATTGGTAGAGAATGCAAAAAATAAGACTGAAGGTTAAGGTGCCCAATGACCATAATTGTGGCCTGATAATAATTTGTAATGACTTGCACAAATTTTAGCACCAACAATAAAAAAAATTGGAATGGAATTGAAAACAAATTCCTCTTGTAGACTGTATCTTATTTAATGTAATATTAAAATCAGAAGTTGGTAAATCCAAATGGTTTTAATTATTTGTATTTTACGATAAAACGTAGTGCCTAGTTCATAATATTTCTCATAGGCTATACGACCATTATATTACTATAATAATATTGTAAATAAAAGGGGACAATAATAAAAATGTGATTTTCCGTCAGTTTATCACAAATATTATACTTATGTTATCATAATTAATTTTGGTATCGGTATTTTACTTAGATATTGTCGAATTGATTTCGATCAAAATATAATAACTATGCCTTCATCAAAGTACAACAAAATAAAAATCGATATATTGAAAATATTATTACATGTTAGCACTACGGTGTTTTAAAATCGAAAAATGTTGGCCAAGACTAATAATTCTCTTATTTTTATTATACTAAGGGAAATGTAGCGACTAAACGTCAATTAAATATCAATAAATATTTATAACCAATGGTATTATTTAATTGTGTTATTAAATTATTAAACTCTGATTATCATAGCTGATAGTACCTCTAATCTCTAGAACGATGCACGTATAAGCATTATATAGATTATTTTCGCCGTTGAACACCATGCAATGAGTTAATAATTTAATATACCTATGGAAGAACCCAAATTTATCATAATAGAATCATTATAATTATTAGTATAATTTTCATATTATATATAATGTTGACAAAACATCACTATCAACTGAACTCCGCTCAGAATCGTTTTTTCGTAAGCAATGGTTTATCGTAGATTTACATTAAATTATTTATAACAGTGGCTGACCCGTCCTTATTATCCTAGGACGTCTTTTTTTTTTTATACTGTGACAAAAATTCCTATCTTGATATGTAAGTACCTGTACATGTATACATATGTTTCGATATGTAAGTCTGACATCTTTTTTGAAAGGAAATTTTGTCTAGATAGTACTTTAAACTTGTAATTTTTCAATTTTCCAAGCGGATTTTATAATATCTGGAAAACTCGGGATAAAACGTAAGAAAAACTGGAAAATTTACGAAAATAATGCTTTTACTATTTTAAAATTTTTTTTAATATAATTCAGTTTAAATTTTCGTAGTGACTTGAAATTTTTACAGAAAACTTATATTTGCCTTTTTTAGACATGGTCAAATTTTCAAAACATTTGAAAATATTTATAGGCATTTTGGTTTTGCGAATTTTGTACGTAATTTTTATTCGGTAGGTATTTTATGGATACAATTGTTAGAAAAAACAGAAATACTTGAAAATTTAACAGAAAGTTCATTAAAAGTCAATTGTGGTAAAAAAAAAAAAGGTGAATAATGTAATATTTTTTTTTTATGAAGGAATTTGAATTACAAATTTTCACTAAAATCATTTGAGTAAAAATTTATGTGGAACAAAATCTAGTTACTGGACCGTGTAAATTTTTCAATTTCTTGTTTTGAACACATGTATATTGCCGATTTAATAACGATGGTGAATTCAGAATAAATCTTTACTGATTTAGTTTCAAAATTATAGCTTTTTGAAATTCTGATATTATACGGGTTATGTTAAATAATTCAATGTTATCAATTTTATAATTTATCTATTTTTGAATGTACTTGTTGTAATCCCAGAGATCGCAAGTTAAAACCAGAGTTTCAAAAAATTATTTTGCACAAACACATCGGTAGCTACGTAATAGGAGGAAAAAATACATTTTGGATGCACCTAAAGACCCAAGCCGTAGTAATATTACATAGGTATTACATATTGTTGAAAAAGCAATACTATCTGAGCTCTGCTCAGAATCGTTAACAATTCGTTAACAATGATTAATCTTGGCATATAGATATACATTAAAATCCGCTCAATATCCTACCTTCCTAACTTCTCATCTACAAGTGGTCCATCCATCATGCGAAGTATGGCCATCTTTGTTTAGTTTTAATATTAATTTAATTTGATTAATTTAATGTCAACTATATCATAGTTTACTAATATTAAAATTGTCTAGAATAGAAACATAAAATATATTATTTGACAATATATTATCAAAACGTATTTAGAAATTAAATAACATTTTAATAGGTACTGTATTATACAATAAATAAAAATAGACAATTTAGAAATTAATAAATTATGTTGTGATTTTTGTTTTTTTTTAATTTTGAAAAATGTACATTAGAATTATATGTATTTATTATTTACTATTTAGTTTTTAAAATTATGCATATTATTATTAAAGGTAGAATAGCTAAGTACCTAGGTAACATTTCTTTTCCACGCCACCGTGAAACGACAACACTCGACGGAACACAAGCATCACCCACCTTTTTCTTTATACCACAACCACATCAGTAATATTGCTATAAAAAAATAGTGATGGGCACTACTGAGTGAAGTTCGATAGCTTTTACTATTTACTCAGTATAAAAGAAAATAGTTGGTTGTTTTTGAAAACTAACAACTATCAAAACTATCACCTATAACAACGAAACTATCCACTATCGAGTAGTTCATTATATTGATAAATGATAGTATCTGTTTAGTCAAAAAAATATTCGGTTTTTTTTTTAAGCTACTAGGTTTATACAGATTGATTTACCAAGCGATCTACAACCTTTTTTTTTTTAAATTTTGCATTCATTCTGATTTTGATTTTTGGAATTTTTAAGTGTCGTTAAATCCGATATTTTCAAATACTTAGATTTTTCACATTTAAGGAGTATCCTGTGGCGATAGGTACACCAACTTTGGTTTTTCAAACGAGAACCTATACTAACAATTCCATAGACAGATGGATCATTAGTTTAATTTTAAACGTTGATGTTAAAATTTTCCGTCAACCCGTTACCGAGATATTCGACTTTTAAGTTTAGGTAGGGGGTGTAGTGAGTAATGGAGTATAGGTAATTTTTGTGGCGGTATGTTATTAGTGTTCCGCTAATACACTTAACAACACTTAAAAATACCAAGTCAGAATTTGAATACAAGTGAAATTAAACCAAATAAAAAGAGGGGTGAGCACACTTAGTGCATCACTCTGTATATTACGTTCTCTAGTCAAAGCTAGTCGGTTCCGCCTATTGCTAGTGATGCCGGCGCTGCGAATCCGCGATAATATTTGTAAAAATGAAACACTGCGTACGATAACGGCCAATCAAATCGTCCAATCTAATCGTCGTGTGACTCTGAGCCCGACGCTCGGTCGTCAGACGATCGAATTTGTTTGTATCTTGTTTTCGCTCCTCAAGAAAGCATCATTGCTGGAGTCATTTTTTTTGCCATCGTACTGCCGTGCGAACGACCCATCACCGCCATGGAAAACTGGTAATATAACGTCTCATTAATACCTTGGACAGTATTGTTTCGTTCATAATTTAATATTTTAAATTTAAATTTATTGTTGATTTTTCTTTATTATGATATAACCATAGATTATGTTTTATTTTTCATAATACTATGATGCGCATTATTTCCTTGCCGGGCTATAAATTGTTGAAAAATTACTTAGAAAAAAAATTTGTTTCTTAAGTTTTAAATAATAATATAATTTCTGTGATAATTCCATTAATTGAAAGATACCTTATAATATTGTTTTAAACACGGACCACAATGTCCATGATATTAAATCGTATACCTAGTTTACAAAATAATAATATAATATACAACATTAATGTATAAATTGTCGATTTTTATGTAATAACCATATTTGTGATACCAAAGACCGAGTGGAAGTTTAATAAAGTTTATAAGTATTTTTATAAATTAAGATAATAGTTTCTTAATATTATAATTAGTCCCTAATCGTTATATTGCTGTTTTTTCATTTAATTATGAATGAAATACCTTTAGTAATTATTACTAACTATACCATAAATTGTAGATGGTTAATTTATTATTGCACTAGGTAAATATGATAGCTAATTTGTCTATATTTTAAACCTAATGTATATATAATGAAAATAAAAAAATGTTTTTTTTTTTTGTATTCGAATTTACGCGCATTAAAAAAAAAAAAACCAATTTAACATTAGCTAGTTTGGGTTACATAAATGATTAAGCGAGTGACTCTAATTTGGGCGACCTGGCGAGATTAACCCACGCTCGTCATACGTTATTTTTCTATTTCTGCTGTTTTTAGTTTTTGATATTTTCAACTGTCGCGATAATTCTGATACCGTCGTATCGTCCCGCGTTCAATTTCACGATTAAATTAATGTCGCACACCACGTGCTCCCCTTAAACTTTTGCCTTTATACCATTTCATTTTTAAAATATACACCTCTCGTGGTCAGCGGTGGTCGTTCGTTGGCCTCCTTTTGTCCACGTGAAGAAAACAATTCGCCTGGCAGGGCCAAAACTCGCTGGACCAAACAATGAAACAAAGCCTCTGGACCCGAGTCCCGATCGCAATTCGTATCGTATTCCCTGCGCGGGTTTTTCAAAAAAAAAAAAAAAAATATAGATACATTATAAATGACGAGCTTCACGTAATGTCCGTACTATAGTTCATACTTAATTAAGATAATCCGACCGCAATTCGGATTTTTTTTTCATCTGTTTTAATCCCGACCGCAATTTTCGTCTATCGCGACAGCAACTCGGAGGCGGTTTTCATTTGGGCGAGCCTATATTAATATGTATAGTGTTTGAAGTCTGAAATATTGGATTTTCAATAATTATTTCAACATTGGATCCCACGGTCTCACAAATATAATATAGCTTACCACCAGTTTAGGTATTTAATTATCAATAAATCGTGTTCTTTTTTTTTTTTCAAGTCAAAATTTATATAATACATTTCATTTTTAAGTCAATAATTGCCATTAATTGACATGCATTAGATTATAATATGCAGTCAGAATGTAAAAACCACTAACCTCACGGTCGAGACAATATAATTATATGTAGTAAATATTATACAAGTTGTTGTATACTACATATTTGCTTACGACTAATCTAAATCGTACAACATACAAAGATAAATTCGCCCAAACACTATATATACCTGTATTATATACGTCTATATTTGCGCCGGTACAAAAAAGGTAGATGTACGTCAATAATTGCTCCTGAGCATTTTTGACGTACCAAAAGCCATATAGGTATATATGTACCAGTAAAAAATAACCATCAAAATAAATATGCATATATTTTATTTAAAATTGTAGTTTTACCCTCGTCTATGTTGCAGTTTTTGTTTCTGCGCGTCGCCATTTTCGTCATTTTTCGGCAAGTCCTTTACAAGGAAATCACTCGATTTTGGTAAATACTTTACCGTGTTAATTTCCATTATAAATATGAGCACAAGTCTCGACGATTGTACCTATACATTATACAACCCTCGGAATTATAGTAAACAACACTACCGATTATAATACACCAAACGGACAATTTCGTTTATCTTCAAATAATCAATAATAAAATAATATTATTGTAAAAGTAATGGTTTTCCAAACGTACTTAATAAGTACAACGACGTATTTTAATCAATATTGTTGTTGTATGAAATCGCCCAATAAACTTATTCTTGGAGGTATTCGATTATTAATCATTAGATAAAGTTGGGGAATCCAAAACTTAAAAACAGATTTGTTTAGCGATCGACGCAATTGACGCATAACAATATTTATTACGTTCGAATATCGATCGGCGCAATTGATATATATACCTTTTTTCTATCCTTTAAGTTGTCTTATTTTACCTGCGATTTCCGGCGCAATTGATATAATAATATGCCCAGCGGGTGTTTCTGATGATTATAATACGATTGAGAACTTTCGAAATGGAATAATGGAATAGTCTCTGCACCCCCCCCCCCCCAAAAAAAAAAAAAAAAAAAAAAAAAAAAATAGTACTATTGAGAACGAAATTACGTGGAACGTTGCCGAATTATATTCAAGTCAAAATTTTTCAAAACTCGTGCAAAATTTCCAATAAAACGGTATTTGTGGGAGGTCATAACAATCAAATTTCCACCGTGTTCGTTTTTTGCACACACAACGCATAATATGGGAAACCACGTACCGAGTAATGCGTATATTTTGATCATTCGTTGCAAACAATTCGTTATCGTTGTATTTTTACAGATTATCATTATTGATGGATTCGGTAATTATATGCCTATATGCCCTCTCAAAGAACAATCATTAAACTCGATTATGATACAAATATATTATAATATATATATTTGATTATTATTTGGTTGAATTTTCAAATTACCACATATTTGAAAACGAATTATAAAAACTGAGCATTCTCAATTTTAATAATAGTCGTCTTAAGGGTTTAAAAATGGTATCGCCGATAATGACCGTTCTCAATTGTATTTATATCTCGTCGGTTTCCGCCAAAAATGACCTTTTCGGTTTTCGCCAAAACCTTTTACCGCCAGTTATAAATTATAGAATTTCAACGTTTAGGAATAATTTTTTTAGTAATTAAGTGATATTAGGTATTTACATTTTTACACGGGTTTTTTTTCAATAATTTGCTACCAATTATTTTTGTGAACATAGCTGTAGTTTATCTTGATAACGCCACTTAACGCACATCAAACACAGACCGTGAATATGAAAATAGTTCTGAAAAATCGAACAGATTTCCGATGGGGTAAATAATAAATTAATTTTTGAACATTTGTCTATCACATATCTAAATGAGTATGTATATGTATCTTTACACTTATATGTTAGTAAAAATTATACGAGTGGAATAAAATTTCCGTTCTTAAAAATGTGAATAGTAAAAAGCTGATACAAATATTTAGGAAAGTAGGTAAAAATGTACTATCCATAAATATGTTGTCTACTGAACACAGTAATTTTAAATTCGAATTTGTTGAAAAATATATTTTTTACCAATTATTTAACAATAATTTGTTTATTTGAACCAATAACAAATATAAAGTTTACATCCTGTACAGTTTTAACTTGACGCTCGCTCATTACAGTAATTACTTCTATTATATCTTTTGGGAATTTTGAATATGATGATCTACGAAAACCGTATAAACATTGATAAATATTATTAATGTCTGTACCGGTAAATGTTTTTGTAACTTCTGAATAAAAATTAACACATCTATAAGTTCCTACTACATATTTTATTTTACACGATATTTAAATTCTGAATAAATAGTATTATTTAAATTTGACTAGATTTTTTAATAAAACCATATTCACATAAACGAAAACATTTAATAAACAATTCTTCAAAAACATACTTAATCACTGTATGGGCGCTTATTTCAAAATCAACTCTAATTAAATCAGGGTTAAAACATCGGACGTAATTTTAAGATAATCATGGTTATGAACATTGATAATAATTTTTTTTTTAAGTTAACAATCTATTATCATTATTTCAAGTTCCTACATTGAAATTAATAGGTACCTAGTAAAAAAAAAAAAAACATTGGTGAATATTGATACTAATAATTAAAATTAATCACTACTAATAATTACAAATAAAAATAATAATTATAGTAAATGTAAATTAATAGTTATTTTAAAATAACAGTTCTGGTCAGTCAGGTTTTTTAAGTTGTAAAATTCATTATTAAAAAAAATAACAGCTATACAATATAATGATTTACCCTGATATCTATGGTCAGTTAATGATAATTAAAAAATAATTTCGTAAATTATCTAGATTTACAAGATTTATACATATTTTATGCCCAAATTACTATTCAATGCATTCTGTCTCTTTATGTGTCACTTTTTTATTTTATTATTAGAATTGTGTTAATCTTTATTCTGTTTCGGATCGCGTTTCTAATAAGATAGTTAACACTGGATATAAATTGGTGGATGAGAGTAGTAAAACTGGCTATTGACAAGTGACTAGAGAATTGTTTTAGTGATACAACCACACAAATAAAGATAATCGTTGAAAAATGACAAAAGTAAAAAAAATATCACAAATTCGTGCAGGTATAACCACAAACTAATGATATTCAGGATTTAAAATAAAAATATTTAGAAAATATTAAAATAAGTACGTATCTATCTGTTTTTTTAATTCTTTATCAATTTAATTTGAAATTACCAAATATTTGAACAAATTGAATTTCACCATTAGTTGAACCATTTAAATTAGTTTATTTTCCCTATCATCCAACTTCTTTAAATATACATGTATATGTACAATTGTTTACATCTAAACAAAATGTACTCTTTACTTCAATGTATTATGTGGTGAAATCATTCATTTTAGGGGAGAGCTAAGCCTCCCCCTCTCTTATTTGCGCCTATAAATGTGGAACGTATCACAGGGGATAATACCTAAAGTACTATTTTTTTTCTTTAGTAACAGTGAGTAATTGATAAACCATATTTCAATCTGCGCAGGTCAATGTCGACAACGATGACAACCGGTTATCAATTCAATCACGATAAGTAAACAAACGCCGGCGAACTCCGCGATTTCGCCAGATAAAGATTTAGCACCGTCCACTTCTATGAACCAAGTTATCAACCAAGTTACTGAAGGTATGAGGTAGGTTAAGAGTTTATAGTTTTAGATTAGAATACTACTAGTTTGTAATTGAATAAATACGATTGAAATTATTAATAATTGTATTTATTATGATTAAAAAATCGGAAAATGTTGTAATGTTTTATACACTTAAGACTTTGACTTAGAGAAACATTATTTCAACTAATAATAATATTTTAAATGACAAAAAAATTTGTTCTATCAAATACTAGTGTACAATGTATTGACTAGGTATTGACGTTTATACCGTATTGTTAGTTAAAGAGCCACTAGTTGTCTAGAAAATCCATTGGTTATTACATAATCATAATTCTTTGTTCGTATGTATTTTTTTATAGTATCATAAATCATAACAATAAAAAAATATACACCTTGTTTTATAATAAGCGTGGTTGTAGGTAAAAATGATATTAAATAATTGACGAAAAGTAAGAAGTGGTTTGAATCACATACATGCCACTGTCGTTTCATGGCCTACGGGAGTGCGTCATAGGAGGTGAACTAACCTGGTGTCTGAACGCAAAAAAGAGGTAATTTCCTCAACACCCCACAAATACTTTCTGAATAAGTCCGGTGACTCTGAAAACGTTTCTGAACGAACCCCTGATGAAGTATTCTCGTCACGTGGTGTTATACCTATAGTTTAATTACAATAGTAATTATTGTTATTACCTATGCATTTGTGTGCGTCCGTACGACTTTCTCGTTGCCCATATTTGTGGTTATTAGCGAACAAATAAAATTTTCTTATTCTCGATATCTTTTACTGATAGACAACCGCGTATTATATTTTCCTGTATTAATTTTCATTATTTTAAAAATGTTTGCTTCACCGTGTGTGTTTAGTGCTGTTAGTGGTAGTCGCAGATACATCGGATGGATTGTACCTATGCGTGACCCCGTACATTTCCACTCGTTCATCCTGTAGAACCTCTGAAAATATACTAAATACCATATTATGAATTTATGATTATAACAGTGATTACATCATATACCCAAAATATTAGTTATTGATTTCAATTAGAGCAAAATAAAAAGCCGGTAAGTAGCTTCTGCTACGTAGTAGGGGTTTAGGGTACCTCCCATTTGTGTAAAGTGGGGTGGGTGTATTGAATCTTAAAAAAAAAAGGATTATTATTATAGTTATTGTAGTGGTCACTTTTTATATTACCTTTAAGTTTTTATAAATGTTTTCTGTTCTTTTATTCAATGGGCCTACAATATTTTCATAAATATTTGTAAATGATTCTAGTTCATAATTCACTTTCTGATGGTCAATACCAATCAAATCAGATAAAGTGTTTAAACATGTTTCTGGTTAGAACTGATTTTTAAAATTGTTTGGAATTAGATATAGGGAGGTCTGCTATAATATGTATATTACTAGTTAGTTGATCAACAACGGACAAATGTATCTATAACATGATTTATAACTATGATTTTAAATTTTCAACAATACAGATTGAGTCTAATTACACAGAATTATAACAATAACATAATATAACTTCTAAAATATAAACAACAAATAAATTATATTATAAATTATAAATTGTGTGCAAATAAAAAAAATTATTGAATAATTAATTTCAGTGTCTTATAGTTGAGTTCAATGTTTTAGTATTTTCCATAATTTCGATATGTTTGATTTTTCGATACTATCAGTTTAATCAATATTTTTAGTACACCTACCATTTTTAAAAAAGGTGAAAAAATATTACTTAAATGGATACCATTGGTCTAAGACACCCATATAATTATATTTATTAAAAACTCTTTTATGATAATACTTTTATTTTTAAATTATGAATAACATTTTACTAGACACATTTAAAAATGTTTTAACAATTAAGAAAATGAAAAAAAATTGTTTTGTATGGTTTGAAATCAAAATTGTATACTTTTTTTTATAAATGCATTTTTAAAACAAAAACATAATTTTTTATTTTCATTTTAGATTCTGAATATAGTAGATTTTATTGTTTTTAAAAAAATGTTTATTTTTTACACTGTGTACAAAAATTCTTCTATAAATCTTGCTCCGATATTTACGTGTAGCACCATTTCTTGGGAGCTCATTTTTTTATTTTACAAGCAGTTTTCATAATATCTAGGTAAAACCAGGAAAAACTGGAATTTACTAAAATAATGCTTTTATTACTTTTTCAATTTTGTTATTTGTTGTAATTCAGTTTAAAATTATTTTGATTATTATTATATTTCATCATGGTTTGTAAATTAAATTTAAATATTAAATAAAAAATTATTAATATGATTGGCCCCTGATATTTTCAAAAACTACTATAATTGTGTGTACTTAATACTATTATAATTATCTATACTACTGGTTTCAGTCATAAAGATTAAAAAAGGAATTATATATTAAACAAATTTAATATATTTACATATAATGCATTATAATAATTACAGTAAATACAAATATCAAACAGTTATAAGTAGGTAACTTCGTTCTCAACAAAATTTATCTGTAATAAAATTTAACTATTTTATATGTTATAATAGGTTTCTCGTTTCCATGGTTGATCTAGAACTAATAATACAACAAATTTGTTTACAAATAGTTACTAAATATTTGAATTAAGAGTTATAGGTTAAAGTTTTTTTTTTATTTCTTATAAAACTTTAATAGGCTTAATGACTTTTTTTTAATTGTAGGATAGTGGCTGAGTTATCGAGTGGTATTGTATCTAAGATTTTTTCAATTTAATTATGTTTAATAAATTAATTTAGTAATATATTTCTACTTAATGTCATTATATGTTATAGAAAAACTTTGTATATCACAATTATATTTTTCTTTTGGCATAACATTTAAAATGTTCTTATTATTTTGATATCCTTGCTAAAAAAAAACATTATATGCACCTTACTGGTTTGAACAAATTGGTAATAATCCTCTTTATTAACCACTATTTATATCTTCTATTTTCCGTAAACTCATATTGCGTTTCACTATTTTGAGAATGTTTAATTGTTCATTTAGATAGTAGGTAAATTTTTTTTATAAAAGAAATCAATTTTTATTAATATATTTTTATTATCATTTTTAATAATATTTTTTATGGATCCACATAAATACAAATTATACTGGCATACCAGTAAAATTTGGATAACTAAAATTAAAATTGAAAATCAAGAATTAATATTGTCACCATGTAATATATACCATATATCTATTTACATCATGTGTACACATAATACACATACACATTTTATTATTTTTTTTCATAGTTTGTATCAATATACAATTGATAAATATATTGATATGTATTTGACAAAAAAAAAAAAAAATATAATAACGAATAGAAAACTATTGTGTACCTAATAGTTTTAATCTTAGTACACAACTAGACACCAACTTACTTCTGTGTTCTGTTTTTTGTTAGTTTTTCTCAATACCAAATACTAATTATCACTTTCATGACTTTGTATTTCAACAAAACATTGGGTTGGTTGATCTGTTTATTAGGTAGAACTTTTTTTTTTCCCAAATATGCATTTATGAATGTAGTTTTTCCAACACTCAGTCTACATAAATTATGTAGGTTAGATGATTACTTTTTCTATAAGCAGTTCAATATTAATACAAATTTATGTACAAAATATGTTTATTTTTAAATATCTGCCTTATAAAATTAAAATTTAATTTTTAGGAAAAAGTAGATTATTGTTAAATGTAGAATAAAATTATTTAATTTTTTTTGTACAAATGCACAAATGTATTAGTGTAATGTTTAGGTATATATTATATATATTCAATATTAAGAGGATGTTGTATCTACATTTGTCAACTCAGTCTAACCAAATCTTTTTTATACAATTTTTTTTTTTTTGTTATTTATAATATTAGTGTTAATATATTTGTGTATACAAATCAACATTTTGGAAAATTAATTTATAACATCCATCATAAGTTGACTTTGAACACTAGCTATCTAGTATATTGATGTTCCAACTGGACTTACACTACAGTTGTACCACACTGTCATGCAAACTGGATGTCCAAAAAAAAAAAAAAAATATAATAACCAGATTTGTAATAACGCATTGCCAATACCCATGCAATTCTATTCTTGTTCTACTGTGTACGAAAATTTTACCATAAATCTTGCTCCGATGTATCAAGTGTAGCTTATTTTCTTAAAGAAAATTTTATCTCTATGCTACTTTAAAGTGGTCATTTTTTTATTTTTCAAGTATATTTCATAATACCTGGGAAAAATCGGGATAAAATGTAGGTATTAGTAAAAGAATATTATGGTCTTTGTTTTTCTGTGTACAGCTTTTCTAATAGCAATTTTGCTCCGATTTAAAATGTTAGCACTTTTTCTGAAAAGAAATTTGACTGGGAAGGACAAGAAGGTACTTTAGGGAAGTCGTTTTTGGATTTTTCCAATAAATGAGAAAAATCGTGAAAAACTGAGATAAAAGAGAAAAATGTACGAAATATATTAGTAAAATATTACGATTTTATTGTCAATTTTATTATCATTGGAGAAGTTTAATATATGTACCTATTATATTATATTTTGTGTGAAAATGTTTCAAGACTACAAAATATAGTGTTAATAATTGTAAAATAAGTTTTTGTAGTTTAATTGTGGGGGTCGCAAATGCAGGAAAAAATTTTTGGGAGGTTTTGAAAAAAATATATAACATTTGACCTTTGTATTGTATTAAATCAATTTATTATTTATAATTTGTAGGGAGTTTGAACCTTCATTATCCAATCATGCATTCTACACTATTAATGGTTTTTATTGTGTTTGGATATATTTGCATTTTTAATGGGCTAATAATAAATAATATATAATAATAAACTGTACCATTTAATAATATATAAAAACATTTTTTTACAAATGTGTTGAATGGTTTCTATTATAAAAAATAAATAAAAATAGTACCTATTTGTAATAACATTGGTTCATTAAAATTAATACTTCCATTTTTATTATTAAATGTATAATATCAGTAAGTTTAACATTCTAGTCTTAACTTAAAGTAATAGAATTGCTAAACTTGATGTATACAGATCTAATAGTGAGTACTTATCATAAAGGCTGGTGCTAAAAATGAACACTGATATAGACATCTGTAGTCATTTAAGGTTTAATATAAATACTTGTGTAAGTAAAAATAAGTATTTTCACATCAATCATTTGTTTATTGTACTACACCTGTACAGATGTTAAATAAATCAATAAAGTTCAACAGGTATTTTTTGAGCCTCTGGCATGGCATTGTGTCCTGTAAGCTCGGTTGTTTGAGTCACTGATGTGATTAAACTTATTAAAAAAAAAAAAAAAAAATATATATATATATAAACCTAAGACCTTGATTTCCTACAACCATACATCCGTGATTGCTTGGTATATGATGGCGTAATAAAAATATGAACTACTGAAAAACAATAACAGTTGTTTAAAAATGCATGCCCCTGAATCACGTCTCGGTTGTCTGTAGGTCAACATTTGTGTGACACACACTGAATGAAAAATTAAAATTATGTCTGTATATATCATTTATGAATTTGAAAATAAATACAATTGTAGTGTACCATTGTTGTTAACAAGTTGTATACTTATCATAAACAATAAAATACTTTTTATTTATTTTTTTTTTTTATTTTAACAGAAGGTTTTCACTGATACCTATCATTTTATCTATTGACTATTAAATTTTACTAATGCTAATCAAATGAAAAAATATAATAAACCATTCGATACATAAGTATAATAAAAAATCCAGAAAATAAGGACCAATATTAATGTATTTTCCAAAAATTTATTACCATGAATTGTATGATGCGTTTATTGTAAAATTAACTAACAAATCGTGTTTAAAAGTACGTTCTGGACTTCTTGATTTGGGAAAACCGAATATTATTTTTAATAGGTTCTTAAAAATACCTGATGGTTTATAAGTTAGTATTATTTGGTATTCTGTAGCAAATATTTGGTGTAGAATAATTAGTATTATTGTACAAGCTAATGAGGAATGGTTAAAATAGCCAACAATTTTTCTTTCATTTTGTCGATCAGATATGGCTAATTGTGCAATGTGTGAATGAAACAAGATTCACTTAAGAAATTAGCATCATTGCAAGCTTTTTTTATATATTTGCTGCATTATTTCTTATAAGTGAATTTTATCATGTATGTTTTGTAGAATACTGTAAATATTTGGACTTGTATACAGTATGCCTTTCAGGAAAGTGTTAACAAACTCGGAGCAGTATGGCTTTTTTATGATCATTTGTTAGCTAATAAACAGTCAAACATATACAATTTCCATTACTATTATTTGTTATCCGAACAGCAGAACATACTGCTAACTCAGTATATTTTATTATTTTTAATACTTCATGGAAAATAAATAGGTGAAATACAAATGTTGGGGTTTTCATTATGTTCAGGGGAACATTAATAATACATTTGTCTGTAGGATCTATAATGTAATTTATTTAATAGAATTAAAAGTAATTAATTTCATAAATACTAATATGAATTTCTTCTAAAATACTGTCAATAATGAAAGTAGTGCATTTGTTTAATATTTTATTTTGCACTATTCAACTAGTGTAATTATTCATCTTTTATTTGAATACAACTAAAAAGATTTTATTTATTTATTAATACATACGGACCAAAGTCCTTTTACATAAAATCGCATATAACTGTTGTAACATGATGTTATATCGAACATGGCAATACATTTATATAGTTGAAGAATTATAAAGTAATTGATAAAAAGAAAAATATATAATAAAAATATAATGACATAATAAACGTTTTATAAGAAAGAGAAAAAACGAGAAACGAGTGCTGCACTTAACACATCGGAGCAAGATTTCTGGTAGAAAAGTTGCTCACAGACAAATAAAAACACACGTCATAGTGAAACCACTTCACGTCCGGCACGCACGTAATATTAAAAGAGAGTACGTCTGATAAACACTGCATATTTAATTATGTATGTTCGTACAAAGATTATTTTGTGCGTAATTGATTAGGTTGTTGTCACGTTGCAATCGCGCACGGAAAAGCGTCTAAAGGGTACTATTATGGCATTTGTGTTCATCACGGTTACACGAATAACCGCGGTTTTGATTTTATCAAATTAATGTTTAACTAATAAAGTTACATATATATATATATATATATATATATATATATTATGTGGTTGGCATATTGTATTAAAATTGTGTTGCTTGTTAGTAAAATAGAAAAAAAAAATACAATGTGGATATATTCTACGGGTGAGAACTAGACAGGACACAACCATCGCTTTTAGCTCATAACGTGTCAACAGCTCGTAGACTCGCGGATTCACGACACTGCTTGCACGAACTCTAACCTGTTTAGATACATAGGTATGGTTATCTAACCATATTATGTTTATCAGTTGTGATGGTTATTATCGTACAAAAATATGCCCGTGTACCCCTTGCTTGCACTATTGGTACCGTCCTAACATTTTTTTTTTTTTTCAGATATTCGGTTTTTAGACTCGTACATATATCATTAATTATAATGACTGAATAGACTAGACCTCTGCCTCCTTTTATATTAGCTGAACTGTGTACGCTATTGATGTCCGCAATATCTAAGTAGGTAGTGTATTATAGATACATTTTTGGTATTGTATTGTTGGTAATCGGTGTACCTACTTGTGTTGCAGAAAATGTTCGCCATACACATTTTCTTGGAATTGTAATCACTAATTATCGAGGGGTATTTTGAACTTTGATCATTTAATTCTAGGAATCTGGCTTTGATTTCTTCTGTGACTCGTGTGTAACGCATGGGTCAAACACGTTAGATGTTGACATTTTGAATACAACACTTTTATAGTTTTTCCGGCTTTTATCATATAAGGCGCCGCAGCGTCAGATACAAAAATCAAAATATTTTCTCGTTTTATGCCTTCTGGCCATAATAAAAGCAAAGAATTTTCGAATAATTGAACAATCGTAGAATGGTTTGTCTTTTCTAAAATTTCGGAGTTCCAGTATTCCAATAATTACATTGCCAACATATCGTCTATCTGTATCAGTACTTTTATCAATTAAAACCCATGTTTTATTATTCCCAATATATTTTCTGATTTAAATAATTTTTGCGCAACGTGGACTCATTTGGTAAGTCGTGTTTGATATATTTTTCAAGAAAAACTTCGAAACTCTATGTTATTTAATTTATTTAATGGATATTAAAATACATGATGACAAAAATACTTGAAAAAAGTTCTTCATTGAACGATGATTTTTTGTGTCTGCGATAAATATTTGTGTTGTCACCTTATCTTGAGTCTCCTTACGTTTTAACGCCCTTACATATTTTTCACTTGCGGTGAGTTGTTTTAGTGTAAATTTTTTTTCGGATGTAATTTTGACTCCACATATTTTACACAATATCACTATATATTGGCATATGGCTCCAGTATAAATAGTAAAGACACAATTTAACAATAGGTAATAAGGACTAATAAAACTAATGAACTAAAGCTGAAGCTAACATTAAAATAGAATAAAATAATAATAAAAGATAACATCAGAATAAAACAAATTTGGTAACTAAATTGGTAACGTATGACTCTTCTCTTTCTCTCCGATTAGGTTTGAACTGGGTCACAGGCGCACAACCAAATTTCCCATCCACTTGATGGCATCATCACTGGCTGAGTGGATTTCCTCAAAATCTCGCGTATTTTGTTATTGGACAATCATTTACTATGTGCCTGACAGTTTGTATTTGTCCACAGTCACATAAAGGGGATTTCACCATTCCCCATTTGTGTAGTAGGTAATGACATTTTCCTTGTTCGGTTCTAATGCGGTTTAAGGTGGTCCACAAGGCACGCGGTAGATTAAATCCGGGTGTTTTTGATGTTGAATCTTTGATCAGAGATGAATTTCGTACGTTGGATTACAATATCACTAATTTATCCGTTGAAAATACATCCTCACCAAACAGCAAAACAAATTTATGTAGTCGAGCAGTACTGGAACATTTAACTTTTCGCATTTTTAGTGAGAATAAAAGGCGTAAGCTAAAATTATTCGATAACGCTGCAGTCTATCAAGTACCCGTGGCACACCCACACGCCCAGCCAGGTTTTTAAACTCTGAAAACCGTACGATCTTATGTAAAAGTTCTTTTTTGTTATTCAAAGACCGTAGACGCCATGTTTTTTTTATCACAAACTATTTTTATACTAATAAACAGGAAAATTTTTTGGGAGGAATTCCCCCCCCCCCCAAAAAAAAAAAAAAAAAAAAAAAAAAAAATCTGAAATGCTCAACCAAACTTGCTGCCCTATATACACTGCTGATTTCAGTATCTTTCACATATCTTGCTACTCACGTGCAACATTGAATATTGAACTAATAGTAAATTATAATAAAAGAAATAATGCTAAATAGTATTATGACCACAGAAATAGAAAATAAGCAGTTGTCCAGAAATTATAAGAATGATGTAAGTCATTATGTCCTGTCTATCGGCATCACCACTCTATCGCGGTTATCGGCCGTAAACATGATTACATTACAGATATCTATAGTTTAGTATAGTCTGATATCTGTGCGTTGAGTTATTGTAAAGATAAGTAACTAATAAAGATAGGATTATTTACTTAAATTATATTTTTGTTTATATTATTAAACATTATCTGATTCTATGTCATACATAATGAATTTATCACCGGGTCTGCAATGTGTACGACTAAAAGAAAAAATGCAAGTCATAAACATCCTAACCCTACTTATAAGTAATACAAGTTAAAACATATAAACATGTATATAGTTAAAACTATATTACAAAGGTATTATATTTATTATTTATTATTTCTTGTATATTGATAATCATTTAACATAAACTGGAATCTGTAAATATGTAAAATGCTATTGGTGTTGCACGGTTGCACGTTTTAAAAACACTATTAATGAACTTTATCAGAGTAATATTATTCACGTAACAAATGTATCCTGGGAATAATGATCATTAACAACTGAAACGTGTTTTGTTACATTTAAACTTGCATATTACATTTGGTTTTTGCCTTCCTAAGCATGCCAAAATAATAATTTTAATTGCTGTATTGTTAATGTATCTCGGCTAACTTATATAATTGCATTGTATACGCTATTGATGTTCGTAGTATATAAGTAAATAGTGTATTCTAGATACATATGATATTCACATTATACCTTCAGTACAAGGGGTGCACATTTTATCACACTGTTCGCAGTAAACATGCAGCCTGATGATGATTATCATTTGTCACAGAGATGTCAATTCCAACCTTTTGCTGTACTTACAAATATGAATACATTTACTTCCAAAGTAGGTTTCGTAATAATAATTGTATGTTGTACTATTATTGTTGTATAGATAAATAGCTATCTTTGCCTCCTTCCATAGCTTCACTTTGTATGCTATTGGTGTCCGTCGTATGTAAGTAGGTAGCGTATTTCGGATACACTTGATATTGCATTTTCAGAATCGTGAATATTCGTGTTGTCATACTATTTGTCACAGTACGCAAATCGTATTTTGGGAATAATGACCAATAATCACCGAGACGTATTTTTCCAATATCTGCTGTACTTTATTTTATTTGGTTTTTGGCCTTCTTACTACACCATGGTATTAATTAAAATTGCTATAATGCAATAATGTTGAAACACCTTTTGCTCCACTAGACTACTATCGTCTATCGCCTGTATAATGTATATGCTATTGATGTTCGCAATATATAAGTAAAATGTGTATTATAGATACTCTGGCATAGCGGTATCCACTGTATCTAAGTAGGTAACCTTTTCGGATACACCATTGATGTTGCATTTTTGGAATATTAATGATATTCGTATCGTAATACCATCGGTCACAATACACAAATCGTAATCGTAGCACACATATATTCTGGGAATAGATTTGAATCTTCCATTCGCCTATTGTCACCATTAATAATTTTGATGTTAATTATAATAATAATTTCTGTATGAATCAGTTCTCTCAGTCTTCTTATATTGGTCCACAATACTAGAATTTTTTTTTTTTCTACACATTACAACATGTTAAATTGGAATAATACATACAATTAATTTATCCCTTAAAACTAATCAATGCGGATAAAAGAATATGAGTAATGACATTGAATATTAAGAATATGAGAAATTACCCAGTGGTAACATCCAGCTAAAAGGTTATTTAAACGGGTAATTTGGGAAATGTGCAAGCTTGTAATTTTTAATTATATCTTCTAAATTAATATTGAAATGTCCGTTAACTTAAAAATAAATCTATTATTAAAGTAATGTCTAGTTTTTTGTAAACTATTTCCGTTAGACTGCAAATGGTCTTTATAATACAATAATATACTTGCAGATAGACAGTTTATACATTTCGCTACATAGGAAGTCAATTGACCGCACACCTTCCACACGCTGTCCAATAAATACGCAATTTTGTTCATTCCCTTAAAACTAGTACTAGGTTGTGGGCCGCACCCTCTTCCTACGCCACTGAGGTCATGATATGAATTATAGTAATAGTTGTTGTTTAAATCAGATCCTTGCATAGGTAGTGCACCATAAATATTGGGTTTTCGCCTTCCGATATACGTCCTGTTATTATTAATAATAATAATTGCTGTATACATCAGCTCATTCTGCTTGTATAGGTGCTTTGTATATGCTATTGATGTTCAATAAGTAAAAAGTGTATTACTGATACGCATAACATCGGTAACCGCTGTGTATAACAGTAGGTAGCGTATTTCGGATACATATTTTATTTTGCATTTTTAGAATTATGGATATCTGTGTCCAGTGTAGTCACAGACCGCTAATCGTTGGAGACACTTTCCCAGCTAGCTTTTACCCGCCGGTCTGTGCATTTCGTGCTAACGTCCCATGTCAAAATTTCCACCTGTAGTGCTAAATTACGATTAGCAGAAAAGTGTTGGTGGCACCGCCGACGCGTTGAAGTTTTGACGTCTGCCCGACTGTGTTGCCTCTCTGCAGCGCCATTTGTAACACACATATTTTGGAAATTGATTTGAATCTTCCAGACTCCTATTGTCATCATTTACTATGTTAGGTTAGGTTAGTTATGGGTTTTTTTTTCTTTCAAAATATATCATGATATAAACTATAATAATAGTTACTGTATAAACTAGTTACCACTGCTTCCATATATATATTTATTGTATATGCTATTGATGTTCGCAATATATAAGTAATAAGTGTATTACGGATGAGTTATGACAAATCGGTATCCACTGTGTATAAGTAGGTAGCGTATTTCGGATACACTATTGATCTTACATTTTTAGATTTATAGATATCTGTGTCGTTATATCATTTTACACACAAAACGCTAATCGTTTTCCGGGAGTAATGATCAATAAACACCGATAGAGCTTTAACTCACGCTTCTCATACCCTATTCCGGTGTCTAATTCTGCAATGTCTTGTGTACCACCAGACGAAAGTCTATCTGCTGCCACTATACTGGTGGCATGCCGTTCCTCGGATTTTCTAATTATTTCTTCTTTATTCTTTAAGAGAATACTGCTTAACATGAATGTAATCAGATTTATGTCTGAGCCATTTGTAGCACACATATATTTCGGAAATAGGTTCAAATCTCCCAGTCGCCAACAGGCATAATTTTCAATGAATACAAATATTGGGTTTTTATCTTCAATATACTTCCTGATGTTATTTATAATAATAATTACTGTATACATCAGCTCAATTTGCTTCCTTATATACTGTATATGCTATTGATGTTCGCAATATATAAGTAATAGGTGTATTACAGATACTCATGACTAGTTTTTTTTTTTCATGTCAATCGCCAGTAACATTTAAAATATTGGTGTGTAAATTTTGTAATAATTTATGGTGTCATAAAATTTAATAAATTTGAGAATAAAATTGCACTAAAGGTTTAAAGGTATAACATGAACTTTAGAGATATCCTAGAGGTAAAAGCAGCAGATAATAAAGTAAAAAATTATACAATTTATCAGTCATTGTTAAACGGACTAGAAAATTAAATAATTCAAATTACAACCACAAAGAGGACAGAAGAAAGAGCGTCTCCTTGTCTTAAGCCCGTAGATACTCTAACTGTCTCTGATACTGCATTCGCAATTTTAATTTTTATCAAAGTGTTTTCAAGACTAGCCTTAATCAAGTTTACTAGTTTTATTGGGNGTAGGTCTATGGATGGAACCATATGCTTTCTCAAAATCGATAAATAGAATGTATAATTCCTTGTTATATTCCCATGACTTGTGCAATTTGGCGAATACAGAAAATCTGATCTGTTGTAGATCTGTTGTAAACCCCCCTGGTATTCTGGTACTTCAATAACATAAACCAAATTTTATATTGATAAATAACACTTCAAAGAATGTCCTTCTCACGAATTTCACGAGACGTCAGGTTTGAAAATTCTAATGTTCCCGTTTTTCTGGAAGCTCAGAATCTAAAAACTTGTAAAATTAAATATAATATAATTCTCACACATCATACCTCCTAAACCTAAAGTTACCAAAATTCAAATAAAATATTTATATATTATAAAGCGTATTAGACCGTGGAAAATAATATATTAGGTATCTACTTACAGTTTGATTATTGTTACTATAATGCCGGGTTCACACAGAGACGACACAAAAACAAAAAACAAACCCTTCTTTGGTGAGTTTGAAAAGAATAAAACACAAACAAAATATATGCCCATACTGAGTTGAGTAAAAATTAAACAAAACATGAACAAAGTTCAAACATTTATTTGTGTTCTCAACTATCCATACAGAAAAATAAACTCGTCATTTTACTTCGTTTTTGGTATCCCACAATATTAGAGATTCACGGTACAATTCAATCAGCTTGTACGTTTCTTCAGTAGTCCATTTTTTTTTTCGTTTTTTATTTGTACCGAATTGCACCGAATAATTTAAATTGAACAAAATAAAACTAAATTCTTGAAATTTTTGAAAATTGCAATCAAACACTCGTTTTGTACGTCAGCAGTACGACAGACCAATTGATACTAAATGGTAGACAACGAATTTATAATTATAATTATAACAATTTTTATAATTTATAATAAATATATTTTTATAATTTATAATAAATATAT